CAATTACAGATGTTTGATCTAATATAGACAAAACTTATCATATTGATATTAGTAACTAGATATATTTATAGCCAGCATATTTATACAATCATTACCTAATTTGCAAACACCTTGTAGCTAAAAAAAATAAAATTCAGCCTACTTTTGCCAAAACAACATGTCAATACAACTATCCTTTAATTGATTTTAGAAAAGATAAAGTACCAACAATTAATCTGATAAACAATCCTTGGGTTATATATAAAATACTTATAGTGAATAATTCTGATGAAGAAAGTTTTAGTACTATTCAATCCCAAAGTATATTAATAACAGCAGAGCATGGTGTTATAAAAGTAAGGTGAAACAAGCTTTCTAAATATAAAAAATAATAAATATAGCATTAATGTTATATGAACAAGAAATAAATAATACTAATTTCATAGATGCTTTTGACAACTTAATGAAGCTACTATTGAAAGAAATTAATGAATGCTAAAAAGCATTACAAACCCACAAGCAGCAAAAAACTTGGAATAAAAAAGAAAAACTTGTATTTTGGTTGTATTAATTCATATTCAAAATAATAAATATAAAACAAAAATTAGCTTTACTAATACTCTTTATTTATCCTTATTATCAGTTAAAATTTGAAAATTAAGTAGTTAAAAAAGCTCTTCCCTTATATTTGATATCAATATTGTTTGATTTATTTGTATATATAAATAGCAGTATTATCTTTTCCAAAAAGTTATTGCTACAGTAATTAGTAATACAAATTCCTGAAATTTCTAAAATTTCTAGAATTTGGAAAATTCAAAGAAAAGTAGAAAAAATTAGAATAGTAAGAAAATTAGAAAAACGAGAAAAATTAGAAAAACTAGAAAAATCAGAATTCATATTATTCTTGTCTATATAAAAATTATTATATAAGTGGAGGTTCTTTCAAAAAATAAAAAAATAACTTTGTTAAGTTCAATTTGAATAAAGTTCTCAGAAAACTTTTAAAATATGAGTAAAAGTATTTGTCTTTAACCCCATTATACTCTCTTGTTAAAAATCATTTGATGTTATAGTATTTTCTTACTCCTGTGACTTTTGTATATAAATTGTTATATTTTGTAAGAAAGAAATATTGAATTAGTAATACAAGTCCTTATCATTATATATATTAAAATCACGTCTGATTAAATTTGTGATTACCATTGTCTGACTGTAATCTTGTATCATATTTACTAATTAGTTAGTTTTGATCACAAAATCTAGCTGCAGTAATTTCTAATAAAAAAAGTAGCATTAGTAAAGAGCTAAGAGAAAAGACTAAATCACCAAATGAAAGAAGATAATGCTTATATAAACCCAACACTAATACTAGAAACTCTGATTACTCAGACTAAGTCTTTCTATAAATATTAAAGTTTAGATTTTATACGGTGCCAATCATTTAAAAGCATCTAAAGAACCATAGTTTCTCAATAAATATTTAAAAATTTGCAAAAAAAAAAGCATTCTATTGTAGTTCTATATAAATTTTACAAAGGTATGCTTTTTTTTTTGCGAATTTGAACTTAT